GGACTTTAAATATCCATTGATTGAGGTAATGAGGCTCTTCTTGAACCATTTATCAATATAATCAACTTCCATGGCTTGAGGAGAACTTGACAGCCAAAACACCTTGATTCCATCACAAAGAAATGAATGCAATGCAATATGATGAATATGATGGAACATAAGCCTAAAACAACAGGGTAAATTTTGGGGTGCAACATGAGTATGTAAATTTCTAGGTTTTTAATCACCCAAATTGATTTAGGGATTTGGAAATTAGGTTTTTGAAATCTAGTTTTTTATGATATAAATAGGTTCCCTATGATGTATATATGTTAGAATATGTTTACTTGGTGAAAAATAGGTATTAGAACATGTCTCTATGGTGATTTTTATGCACGAGTCAGTAGCTGTTCGCAGCAGATTTTTCTGGTTTTCACAGAGGAGGCTTAGCGCGGGTGGCTGGACACCAAATTTTTTTTTTATGCCTGAATGAAATTGGGATCTTGTATGTTATTATTTATCAAGTACTTACATGTATTTTAATAATTTATTTGAATTAATTCAGATTGGTTTTGGAAGCGTTTTGATGAGAAACTTAACACTTGAATTATGTATTTAAGTGTTGAAATTTGATGAGGTTTGAATATAACATGATATGTATCTAATTTATACATGTTATAATGATATGTTAAGATGATTTATACTATGAGATCATGTATATATGATTGATTGTCATGAAAGATGCATGTTGTGCAATATTGTGAAGATAATTCAAAATGTGTTGAATTATGTGATGAGTTGTTGAGATTGCACATGTACATGTATCATTTGTGTCAAGAGGCAAGGTTTGATAATTTTGTGGGAACTATTGAATTGTCCTAAACCTAATGCTGAATGGGGTTTGAAAGCTTAAGGTTGAATCAGGCTTTTATTGGTGGTTATCTATCTTGGAATTGTGGACCCGGCAGGACCAGTAAGGATAATATTTGTACCATATGCATAATGCATTTGATTTGCATTGGAGTCACATGTGTCGATGTGAATCGTTGCATTATCACTCATTATGTAATATTAGTGTGAATGTGGTGTTTTAATCTGCAACATGTGATAATTGATTTAATTGTACAATTGTGGTAATTGGAATTGAATTTCATTTGGAATATGAATTGATGAACTATGTTGTATATGCGGATTGGTATATTGGATTATGTTATGCCAAATACATGGTTTTATGAAGAGTTATGAATTTATATTGGTGTATGTATGTTATACATTGCTTATGATTATATATTTTCATAATGATATGAATTATCACCCTTCTATTAGAATGATGTTTTATACGGCATCGCTCAGATACAGGAGATAGCGGCGCTTCTTGTCAGAATTAGAGAAGGAGTTAGATCCTTATTTATATGCTTATTTCTAGATAGTGAGTCATTTCTCTGGTCTATGTAACACGGGGGATATTCTAACTCATGTTTTATTTATTTTGAGAGATATTTGTTATTACTCTCTTTTATTTGGATATGTATGAGTTTATGTGATGTTTGACCTCAATGCCTAGTACTTATGATATGATTGTCAATATAAGATTTTAATCATTTATATTTTTATGTTGAGATAATTATTCTACTATGAGATGCATATTTTGTATTGGCGTATGAAACGTGGATTTGAATACGTGTTATGAACATGACCAGTATGCATGTTTGATTTCTTTATCGTTTTGTGAAGTCAATTGGGACGCCCTCTTTGAGATGTATGCTAATTTACTCTTATTATGATATTTATGTCTATATGGGTTTAGAGGGTGTTACAGGAAGCGAATCCACAAATCCACAAATAAAGTGGTATATCATGCTTTTCGATCGAATAAGAAATGCATTAATTAAACGATTGAAAGCTCTTAAAGTACCTAGCACAAGTCAACAAACACGTTAAAAATAACAAGGAAGCGAAATCATAGTGATGCACCCTCAACACAATTCAATTTATGATTAAATCAAAAAGAAGTAGAAATTAAATGCACATTGAAACCTTAAATGTAAACTCCGGAAAGCATCACATCACAAACACGAGTGCACAACAAATTAGTATAAAACTGCTCCAAACCGGTACTGGTAGCTACCAAACTTACCAAGAAGCTCACATAAGCAATCACCGTGAATTAAATCACCTTGCAAGTGCTATTTACCATTCCCAGGCAACAACACTGTTAAAACATAAACCGCATGAAAATTTGATCCAAAATCGAGAAAACTTGGCATAAATGTTGTCCAAGTTCCAAAACCAAGTACCATGAGCATTAACCATCAAAGAAATGTCGCCTTATGCTCAACTTACCATAACCGGGCAGTATTGCACCGTGCCAAAGAATTGCTCGAAAAATCACATCGTAAACGATATTATTCAAACGTAATAGTCCACAAACACGCAAGCAAGCATGAATATGCATTAAACAATATTTGAATCCATTTGCAAGGCACTTGTAGCTCCAGGGCAGCAACACATACATATACCGGTATTGAATAGAAATGAGTTTAAAAACTCATAAACGGATGCAAAAGCATTTAGCGGTTCATGTATCGTCGCTTAGAAACTTTAAGCACTTTACAAATGAATAAAATCCACATAATTCAAGTAAAAAACAACATAATTCAAGTGTTAATACAACTTATCTAATTTGAAGTTTTAACGTCGAAAAATTGAATTCATCAACAAACCGATCAAAAGGTTACATTAACTCGTGAATTTACAAATTAAACCTCATCAAAATTCCATAATCAATATTAGATATAAAATCCGGTGTTCAAAATCAACATCAATTTTCTGAATAAAATTCAAGATCTATATCAATTATCAAATTACTTAACCAACTCTGTATTTTAACATCATATCTAAAATTCAAGAATCAAGTCGTAACAAATCTCCACAAATTTAATTCACCTTATGTAAACTCAATTAATCTCAACAACCAAGTGTTACTCAATAATTTCAACTCAAATCAATATCAATTTACAAAATCAATTATATAATAAGAAATTAAGTGCAAGAGATTATGTGAAATTATCAAACAAAAGTGAATCGGAGAAGAGGAGATGTCGGCGAACTTGCGATCCGACGGAGGGAGAATGAGAGGGAGTACCGCGCGGAATCGCACTAAGCGGCGGACGGAGAGAATTTCGGCTTCGACCGGCGACGGAAAGGGCGGCGAACGGCAAGGACTGATCTGGCGGTCGGTTGTGTAAGAGGCGGAGGGAGTTCGTGTCGCGGATGCCTTGCTTGAGTGAAGGGAGAATAAATTTGAATTTGATGAACTTTGTGATTTATGATCTTCAAATTGTTATTAACTTGATGAAGATCTTGTGAAAAAGTTAGAGAGAGTTGGTTTTGATCTTTGAGAGAAGAGAGATAAAAATTTTAGAGGTTTATGAAAAATGAGAGTCTTCCCCTTTTGAAATCTTATTTTTGAAATATATATTCCCTCCAATTGGACCTTAGATTTAAATTTGGATTGGGTCTTATTTTGACAGTGTCATCAAATTTAACGCATAATGCAAGAAGAAAATATAAGATCATCATTGATGCAAAATCTCGACTCAAGCCCTTAAGCAAAAATGAAGATGGAGAAATTTGTGACGCGATGCCGAAAGAACGGACACGATACGACAAAAAATGAAGAAGTTATGACCATCGGAGCAAAGAGAATTTCTTCCTCAAACAAACTTCTTTTCAGTTTCAGCTTATTTTATTGTTTCACTTGTGAAATGGACTATAAACGGAAGCCTTCGAAATACCGTTTGAACTTGAGGTTTGAAGAAAAGTTGTAGTAGACAAAATTTATGAATTAACGGTTTGAGAATCGTCCCGATACGATAAAAATATAAAGAGTTACGATTTTTATAATATCAAAAAACAGTCCATTAGAAAACCACTCCAGCACACAATTTTCTCTGGTAATTGGCACTTTTGGAAATCTTCTGCAAAGAATTAGGTTCTGACCCGAACATACAGATTAAAGAAAAAATCAAGACGAGTTTTGTGCCCAAAGAACCACTCAAAAACCTCGAACTGGACAAAAGTTATGAATTTTTTAAAGTCTGAAAAATAACGGTTCAGTACAGTATTTTCATTTTTTTTCATTGTATCACTTATGAGTACTCGCGCATTCAGAGATCTTCCTTAATGAATTGGCTTTCGAGCCAAACACGAAAGTTGGAGGAAATAACAAGAAGGTTCAAATTCTTAAAGAACCACTCAAATATGATATTCCAGTCAGAAGTTACGAATTTTTAAGCATCCAAAAACTAGAGAAACGATACATTCACGGTATACTGCATATAGAGTATTTTGCGTTTTAGAAAATCTTCCATACAAAATTAATCTCCGACATGAACAAATAAAATTAAGAAGACCTCAAAACGGTTCTAAAGACTAAAGAATCATTTTCAAATCATTTTCCTATCTCAAATTATGAATTTGTGAATTTATGAGGTTGTTACATTTCTCAGGGTGTTAGGTACCAACCTTATTAAGATCTTCTATAAGGATGTTTTTGCATGTAACTTTTGTTGTGTATTTAAAAAATTATTTTCAAATACACTAGTTTATGAAAACTTAGAGGTTCATAGAGATGTCGGTTAAAACATTGTAATGTAATAGAATAGATTGCAAACCTATGAAACTATAAGTTCTTAAATCCATAGATACATATAAAAAAAAGAACAAGAAACTTAAAATATATGAACAAGTGAGTGAATAAAGTTTTACTAATTTGCCTAATGTGATCGCTCCACTATATATTGTGGAATTGACTCAACTTATGTTTGGGTCCACACTTATTAATATGAACTGTTTTCTTTCAAAGTAATATTTTCTTCACTTTTGCATTGAAGGATTCAAAGTACCAGAAGTCACCTGCATTTAGATATAATGATCAATTGGTACTTTTTGTATTTTCACTTGAGCCATTGCATTAAACATCTAGTTTCAATCTAAGAATATTACAATTTACCTAGAAATCACGCTACTTTGTAGACAAGTTCATCTTGGTATGCTTCATTTGACATCAATACCTTGAGGTCTGCATTGGTTACTCTCTGTATAACAATATAAAACATTGAAGTCATGTAGTAGGGACAAAACTATCTCCATAGAATCACATATAAACAGAAATAACATTAGACTAAGCTTGTTAACTAAAGCAACCACTTAGGCAAGAAGTTTAATTAGCTCTTATTAGGCAAGTTACTTTGGGAAATTTAAATAAGTAGATATTTATAAACTATTTTGAAGAACCTCTAAATTTTTAAAATATTTTATAAATGTCTACAAAATTATTGATTATTATATCTATATTTATATTACTTATATTCACACAAAGTCAATGATGTGGTGGTTGTTCCTTTGTCCAGGGTTCTGTAGCAGACAATGTTTCTAATTTTGCAGCTTGGTTGGTAAGAAGTTAAAGGAGGGTTTTTCATAGGCTTTTGGATTTTTATGCGTTGGACTATATGGCTCACTAGGAATAATATAATGTTTCAAGGAGGGATGTTGGTAGTGTAAAATATAGTTGGGAGTGGGGGTTAATTGGGGTCAAGGGTAATCTTGAGTCTCATTGGTGTTGAAATAACATAGCAAGTGTGACTAAGTGGGGAAATAGTCTCATATTGGATAAGAATGTGGAGACTTATGCATATATAAGTAGTAGAACTCACTCACCTATCACCTTAAGGTTTTAGATGGACAAGTGATGTGTCTTTCACAATTTTGTTCGAATTTTTCTTGTACTCTTTGCTTTTTAAAATTCCATTTGGCTTATAAAAAAAGAGAAATAAAAGAACTAGTTCTTAACCTTTTTCGTCCCGGCCAATAGTTTGAATTTCCAAAACAGAGTCTCAAGTTCATCATCCTTTAATATATAACCATGCTGAAATAACACATAATAAGTTGTGAAACAAACTTAACAAACATGTAACATGCCTTTATCAGTTATCAATGAAATTACGATTACCTCTTCAAGTCTCTTTCTCAATGCTTGGCGTCCACTATTATAATTAGGATAAAATAGTTAATGAAATAGAGAAAACATGTCACAAAGTAATCAAACAATTACGAATAAATGAACCATTTTCAAACTATAAACAAAATATAAAATTAATCTCGGTAAATAATCAAATAAATAAGTCATTTAGGCAATGTTACACCATTCAAAAACATTTTGACAAACACAACTTTTCCTATTTTTCAGGATAAATTTAAAAACTAGTAATATTAAGTTTGTGTGAACAATTTATATACAAATCTAATTTTAATAACACTTGTTTGACATATTTAAATTATTTTTGAGGAAAATAAATAAATGATTTATTAGTTTGTTTACAATTGGACTTAATTAGGAGGTTAGGTGATGGTTGTCGTAAATTTTAATATTTGAGGTTGTCATTTCAGGTCTTTTTAATGGAAAAATAAAAGAATATACACGATGGCCAAAAAAATCAATAAGGTATAAGAAGAAGTTCTATAGCACAAAATATATTGATATGATAAACAAAACAATAAAATATATATCCGAGCACAAATAAAACAAGAGAAGAAACCCCTCCACCTACATGGAGGCATAAGCTAGATAGATATCAAACAGTATGAACCACCATCAATTGAAACAAATATATCCAAAAGAAGCATCAAGAACACCCCACTAACTGAACAAGGTCAAAGATATTCAAACCACTATTGATTTAGACAAAGAATAAGGATCTCCAGTCAATTAAAGAAAGTATAAGAGTTGATCACTGAACTACCAAGATTCTATTTTCAAGGTAGGAATATGTTTTATTCTTCCACATCCTTCACATTTGTTCAGGAGTCAGAAAAAATAATATAATTTCGGAAACTCCAAATCAACAATAATATAAAATTACAGATCATAGCAAGTTCACCTTTAATTCTCGGCCTATCAGCCAAAAAGATAAAAATCTCAAAAAAACGCCTAAGATTACTAGGAAGGACCACAAGCTACCCTAACTACTTAAAAATCATGTACCACAAACTTGAAACGACATAACAAGTAATAAAAAAGTGATAAACATATTCTACCAACTCCCTACACACAAGAAAAGAAACTCCATTCCTCTCAGAAAATCAACATACAAAATTGAAATTTCCTAAAACACACAAAAGTCTCATCCATGGTTGTATTTATGCAAATAGAGGCCAGTCCACATGACTCTATTGTCTGGAACAAAACACTTAGAGTAGGAAAAACCATAAAATAGACAAATATATAAGCCCTCACTCCATACATACACCAAGGAAACCAAACCCCAAGAAAGAGTACCTAAATCTTCTTTTTGAACTAAATCGAATCAAAAATAGACCATTAATGTTGCCTATAAAAGGGATGAAACTTCAATCACAAAAAGAATTTCCCTACAAAGGATAAATGAGAGAGAGAGGGAGATGAATATCTCACTAAGTTTAGTTTCTTGGATTTCCATAAACTCTGGACATCTAGATGAAATAAACGATTTCACTGTATTCTTTTTAATCCTACTCCTTAAACTTCGAATATTAAAGATAAAATTAACACCATTAAAGACTCATAGATACAAAGATTTTGAACTTGAAAATTTTCAAAGAGTAAACTTATATTAGACATCTAAAACTTTGCAAATCAACATAAAAAACTCTAAAAGTCAACAACAAAATTTGAAGTTGCAAAGTTATAAAAAAAAACACACTTCTATTAGATATGGAGTAGGCGTATCTCAAAGGAGAATGACTCTAGCAAGAATTCAACCTTCAAAAGGAGAAATATCTAATGGCAATGAATAATAAACATATTTGGGATTTTCATGAGATAACATTTAATCTCTAGTTGATCAATTGTCTGTGTAACTTATTTACTTATGATTTATCCCTGCTAAATACTTTAATAGCTTTAGTTTTCTCTCTATTGGTATAACTCCCGATAATTTTTTATCCAAGTCTTGATAACTTGAAATTTTAATGCACTTTTTGTTTTATTTTTTGTCTATTTAATATAGTTCGATGAGAGTTTTGTTGTGGGAGTTCAATAAGGAGTATTGATACATAGTGTAGGACTAGGAACCTTTGTGAGAGACACACCATTTGTCCACCTAAAACTTTAAGGTGATAGGTGAGTGAATTCTCCCACTTATAAATGTTCAAGTCACCATGTTTTATCCAATATGGTATTATTTTTCCACTTATTCACACTTGCATAATTATTCTAACACTCCCCTATAAGTGTGAGTTCATAATGCTCCCCCTCAAGACACATGTACCGTTGTTGACACCTTGAAACAGAATACCTCTTCTTGGGTATTTTGATACAAGTAAGTCAATCTCTTTCTCAAAACCAGGGATCATTGATACATAGTGTAGAACTAGGCACATTTGTGAGAGACACACTACTTGAGAATTCACTAGGAAGCATTGATACGTAGTGTAGGACTAGGCACCTTTGTAAGAGATACACCACTTGTCCACCTAAAACCTTGAGGTGATAAGTGAGTGGGTTCTCCCACTTATAAATGTTCAAGTCACCATATTCCTATTCAATGTGAGACTATTTCCCCACTTACTCACACTTGCATTATTATTCTAACAAATTTAAATAGAATGTTTTGCGATAATCTCCTCTAGTGATCATGAATTAGATCTATATACACCATGTTTCACTTGTACATTATCCATTAGATTCAAAATATTTTCCTTCACCGTTTTCTCTTGTTTTTCTTAATTTATGTTTTCTTCTGCACTTCTTTGTAGACCTTGAGTAATATAGTTTTCTCTCACATCACGTGTTAAGGAGAATATTCATTTATTTGACATTGAGTAAGCATATGATTGCTCAAAGAAGAACAGACTTTTACTACTGGTCTATTCTTTATAAAATCATCAACCTATCCACTTTTAGCTCATCACTTTTCATATAGAGGCAACCTAAATTTTAAGTAACCTAATTAAATTAGCTACTTTCCTACTTTCTTACTCACTAGAAATACATGGGCCAAGCAGTATCCGGCTAGATAAATGTGAAAAAAGAGGACGAGAAGTAACTTAAAAAATAGATAGAATAAGGTATCCTTTCCCATCTACCATCCTAGTATGATTGGTTGGGGAGTCTGGATCTAAGAGACGTTGAGACCACATATCCACCAAAAAGCATAAGGAAATGGGGACATGAGTCATTTTTGTTATATACCCAACATTTCTTCTATTTTTAGTCGATGTGGGACTTAATCGTTCATACTTGAATCCAAACAATCTCCTACAAGTGTGAGTCACATACATAACTATCCATGACCCATACTAGGGTCCTACTTTCGCTCCCCACCGAACCTAACTATGGATATGATACCACTTGTTAAGGGGTCTGAGGAGTGTTGAAAATATCAATGGGCTAAACATTAAGGAACCAATAGACATTGGCATCACATATTCACCAAAACCTTAAGGCAATGGGGTGTGGATCCCTTTCTATTATATTCATAACATTTCCTCAATTTCTAATCGATGTGGGACTTAACCACTCAACTTGATTTCCAGCACTATCCAAGAAAATAATATGATGACTTGTCACTTCATAGCCTGAATATTAGGCTAGGAGGAAGTAGTCAACCAACTACAATCTACACATTGGTCAACCTCAACACAACCAAGTCCTCAAACCTCAAATTTTTGTAGGCCAAGAATAGGAATATGGAAATCTTTCATGTAACTCATTAGTTGGAGAATTCAAACTTTTTGAACCAACTTATTCCTCACTTCCAAAACCAGTATGATAACCATTACATTTAATAAATCCCAAGCAATCACCGAGCGAAGTGTTTAATGAATGTATGAAAAAATGAGCCTAAATAGATTGAGATACCAATGTTTAGATGCTTATGAAATACACAAGAGAAGGAATTCATATCACTGTAGAAGATTAAGAATCAATATAACAGTGACAAAACAAGAAAAAGGTGAGAATGTTGTGTATTATGAATGAATGCATGGATATGAATAAAAGATATCAATGCTATATTTTTATGAATCAAAGCTATTAATGCTAGATGTTTATGAATGAATATATTCATTTAAGGTTGAATTTCAACAATGTTGGTTTGAATGCATGATGTCATTGTTTTTAGGAATAAAGATATTTATCTATGATTGAATATCAATAAAACTTCTATGGTTGCATGATACAATTTAAATGCATGCCATCCCAAATAAATTTTGTACATTTCCTTTGTTTACTAATTTAGAGAAAAAAAATTCAGAATGTTGTTTATAGATTTTACATTTAGAATTTAAAAAAGGAAATACTATAAGCTCATGTATTATATTTCTTTTTGTTTTTGTTGTTGGATTTTACTCATCTCATTTTTTGTCGTGTTTTATTTTTGTTTTTCACTAAAATCTAAGGTTCATACTTTTATAAATCCTCATAAAGTTCTCATAAACCTAATAATATTTAAATATAAAAATGAAAATGACATACCTAAGCTTCCCTAATACAATACTAGCCTCAAGGGATCTTTCAAGACCAATATCCTCAGGAGATATTATTTCATATGTGCCTTTATGTTTTAACATCCCATCCTATAAGGCATAAGGTGTTAATCAGAACAAAAAAGAAGTAACTTTTATGTGTTTTCATAATTATTATAGGTATTGATATCACAAACCAAACCTGATGAATTCCACTCTCATGAAGAAAAGCATTAGCACCAACAAGAGCCTTGTGTGGTTGTAGAAGCATCCCAGAGTACTCTTCAACCTAATTACAATAATTATGAAATTTAAACTGAAAAGGGGACATTTTAAATAAAAAATAAGAACAAGGGTTTCAAAGATGTAACCATTTTGCTTGTCCTTAATATTTGTCTTGTATTAATTCTTGTATGTAGACCACCTAATATATCATTACCCCTGCACGTCAAGGCCATTACAACCTTGAATGTACAAAGAAAATAAATAATGAGTGATTAAGTAGTAAGTTGAATAATAATTTAAATAAAAATGAGAGATAATTAAGTATATACATTTATTAATTTTAATATGAACTTCAATGAAGATAAACTGAAAATGAAGAAGGAAAACATTTATAGTAATTTGGCTTAGTAAGCATCAATTATTCACATTCCTACAATGATGACTTTGGTATCTTTTTTTCTTTATATTTGACCTAGTAATTTATTTATAGAGTTCTTTCTATTTTGGTTTTTTTTGTTATTCTGATACTTTTGTAGTAATGTAGAGATTTGGTTTTAGGACTCAGGTTCACAGAGAATGAAATACAAGTTAGGATTGAAGCTATTGCAGTACTTAGGTGTTTACTAAGAATTAATATTATCAATTGTTTAAGAGATACAAATTTAAGTGACTTAAATAAAGAGATGTTAATACGGGTTTTTTTCCATCCGTCTCTCAAAAGTAGGAGTAGGAATAATGCTATCTTAACTCTTAAGGTTGACGATGCTTGGATAGAATGGGTGTCTGAGATTCAACAAGAAGTGGTTAATCATTTTTTAAATATCTTTAAAAATCCATAGTATGATAGGCCTCTACTTTATGAGGTTATATTCCACTTTCTTACCGAGGCTGATAATCTTGTCCTTATTGCCCTTTTCTTCTTTTGAAGTTAGATAGTTTAGTGGATCAGTTTCCTTAATGCTCTCT